ACGCCCGGCTGATTTTTTTTAGATTTATTGTAGAGATGAGGTCTCGCTGCCCAGGCGGGTCTCGAACCCGCAGGCTCAGGCAATCCACTCACCTCAGCCTCCCAAAGGCGCGGGATTACAGGCTGAGCCACCGAGCCCGGCTTGTCTACAGTTTTTAAAGGCATAAACAAAATAAATTGTGAAACCAGAATTAAAACAGTAATGTAAGGTAGTGGGGCTGTTATTTTATTTGGCTTTATTCATTAACTTCAAAAACACTACTTGAAAAAGCACTCTATCACTTAGCAGGGAAGACAAGCAATGACGTTGCCACTATATTTATTTATTGAAAACTATTAAAGTTCTTAAATCTAAGGTATGGAATGTACCATTATTCCTTCTAATAAAGTAAAAATGAATTCACAAATGAGAAAAAAAAACTTATGAGATAATTATATCAGTTATACATTACCAAGAAAGAGTTGAATCAACCATACTGCATAGAACTCTTAGAAGATATTTACCATTGCATTTTTACCCTAAAATGCTTTCTGGAAGTAATTTCCAAACCTGGTTCTGCACGTCAGAACTCCAGCGTGCCCCTTTCCACATTCTGGGTCAGAAGAAGTCAATTCATGTATCCCTTCATCTGTTCAGCAATTGAAGGAGAAGATGTGACTACCAAGTGTCCTGCCACGGAGGATAACTAGACATTTAGATTGTACAGATCCATCCTAACCAGAGAGGCACCCACACAGCAGTTATACTCACATCCGTTGACTTGCTGTATGCCAGACAGGGTTCCTATTCTCAAAGAGCTCATGCCTTTGGGGGAGGAAAGACACATAGTTCTAACTACAATAAAAACTGTCCTGAGATGAGGTCATCAAGAAGGAGTCAATGACACAGCAGAATTACAGAAAGGGGAATGAGAAGAGGAGGATGTGGATTCCTAGCAAGCAAGTGACATTTCCGGGGAAAGGCAATAGAGTCCAGGGTGGTCCTTGGTGACCCACCATAGTCTCCCCACCTGATTCAACTCACAGCAGGGGATGTGGGCATGGCTTCAAGGCAAAAAAAGGGGCAAGGGCTATGAGATGCACTTTGTATTACCACGACAAAGACAATCAGACTCTTTCAGAGATCTAACTGACATCCAGTGTGAAAGATGAATTCCAGAGGGAAGAAACCGGAAGTGGGAGTAAGATTTAAATGGAATTGTCAGGGCAAGAGACCCAGAGTTCAGCAGGAAAGGACTGGAGGTAGAGTCCAAAGAGCAGGAGCATTGGGAAATAGAAGAGTTTTGCGTGTGCCTTGGGGATATTTTCATGATTTCCCAGTCATGCCACACTGCAGGAGATCCTAAATAGAGGGAAAGAAATACGCAGTATGAAATACTTTGCAGCCCGAAATCCAAAGATATTACTGCTGGGGATGAGAGATATATAAGCAGCCTCTTAGGATTTTATAATATTTTGTCCCCATGAGTCACAAGAAAATCCAGGCAGTAAAGTCAATAGTGAAAAAAAAATGACCTATTTCACATGTTTTCAAATGTTTTGCCACCTGGAAGGCACACGGTAGTTTGTAGCATTTTAAATCTTAAGAACAGGAATGGAGGATAGTAGTTTGGCATGTCACCGATAAAAATAATTTAAGAATGTATTTGAGCATGAGTCTGTGACTAATACGTAGGCCCAACTTCTATCTGCACCAAACGAACCAGCCATGGAGACAAAAGAAATGAAGGCAAATGAGGAAAACTCCTCAATGCCAACAAATAACAAAAAAAATTAAAATTTGCACACACTCGAATAAAAGTATTCATGTGTGCCTCTGACTGTTCAGCAACTGAAGGAAGAGCTGTGACTACTCAAAGTCCCTGCACATTTAGATTGTACAGATCCAATCTGCTGACTTGCTGTATGCTAGACAGGGTTCCTATCCTCAAAGAACTCAAGCCTTTGGGGAGGAGCAACACACAGTGCTAACGACAATAAAAATTGTTCTGAGATGGGGTCATCGTGAAAGTGTCAATGACACATAGTAGAATCACAGAACGGGGATGATTATCTCACTGTAGGGCATAGTGAGGAGCAAGGCTTTAGACAGATGAAGAGAGGAAGACATGGATTCCTAGCAAGTATGTCACATTTTTGGAGAAAGGCAATAGTCCAGGGTGGTCCTTGGTCCTAAGAAATACTTGTATTTCTTACCAGTATTGTAGGATAGTAGAAAAAAGCATTCACATTTAGCCATGAAGATACCTCTAAAGTTTAAATGTGCTGTGTCAATGAAAGACCTTATTATTATTTTAAGTAGTGGGATTGAAAATTCTGAGCGCTATGTGCACTATGTATTTAAACCCCCCTCATCAAGTTCCAATACAGAAACAAAACTAGTTTCTATAGTGTGGATTTAAAAAAATGGTGAGAATTAACAAGATTTGTGAATTTTTATTTTTTTAGTTTGAATATATTAACCGTCAGCAAGGATCCCCTGTTAATATTAGCTACCTCCAGGAAAGAAAATGGTTTTGAGAGAAAAAATGGAATTCTAAATGTTCACTCTAAATATGTCTGTGTTCAATTTCTTCACAATGCACGGTCTTTTTGTATTACTTATATAATGAAAAATTCACGTTAAAAATAAGCAAATCAACTATTTGGTTTCTAATAAACATCATTATAAATTTGGCATCGAATCTAAAACCTACTGTGCCTCATGCCTTAAAGACAAATAGAATTAAATGCTTAAAAAATTATAAATCAGGTCATTGAAAAAGGATAAACAATGTTAACTACAAATGAATATTTATTATAGTTGTCTAATAACTTTAGGGAAAATTTGTAAAGTTTTCCCAAGTGAATTGTGAGTAGTTAAGTAACAAGCAATTTATTCAAAGTAAATAAGGGAGTAGGAGTCTTCTTTAAAATTAAAAACATAAACAAATGTATTTCAATGAAGAAGTTGCACAATTCAGGAATACAGAGATTGTCAACAATCTTGTAGTTAGCACACAAAGGAGAAAATTTTAAAACATTACAAATCTGCTACTGTAATAACAAATAAACACTTAAATAGCCAGAGACACATGTTTGAGGTGGGATGTGTTTAATAGAAATAAATATTTAACATACACTCCAAGTGGCCACTTTTAGTTCCTGGATTTGCTACTTGAGTAACAACAACCCACTAAAGTCTAAAACTGGATTACTACAATCACGGGATTCTCTTTTGTGTTTTGGAACAATATTATTCTATATTAAAATTCTAAATTAAGAGTCAAAAAATTCTTGAAGTTAATCTTCATTTGTAAATTTTCCTAACTATATGTCAGATTTAAGTTTGAAAACAAAGGAATGAACTTTTGAAAAGATGGAAGATATTTAATTCTGCATTGCTCAACTTTGACACTACTGAAATTCGGGACAGATAATCCTTTTGTTGTGTAGGCTGTCCTGTGCATTGTAAGATGCTTAACTGCATCTCTGGCCTCTACCCACTAGATGGCTTCCCTCACAGTTGTGACAGCCAAAAATGTCAGATTCACAAGTGTTTTCTGGAGGGTAAAATCACTCTCGGCTGAAAATCACTGATAATCCAATGCCTGGACCATAACCAAAAATTTCAGAATCATGGATAAAGTTAATACTCACTTTTAAAGTTGGAAACAATTACGAAAACTGACAAGACACAAGAAGTGGGACCGTTTAAATGAGTCAAAAAGACTAAGCCACACAAACCATACTATTCTACATAATTAGTGGTTTACACAAATGAGATCTCAATCTGGAACTGCATTTACGCTTAGAGAAAACTACTTCCTGCCACTGCCTCCACACATCCGCACATACATACAACCCCGCCATCTTTATTCTTCTATTGATCATTCATTGGAACTGCTCAGTATTTCCTGAGTTAAAGAGCTTCTCTCCAAAGTCAGTGGTGGCCGCCACTCACGGAATCTTGCTGTATCCCTTCCATATTGATCTGTAGTCTCCCAGCTCCTTTTCTACCACATGTTCTCCAATTTTTGTTGTAAAAACATACATTTTTATAAATTTTGTCTTTACTTTCAGCCTTTTCACTTTTTTTTTTTTTTTGCAACATTCCTTACACAAATTCTCTTGGGATCTAAATCCAAATATATATCCAAATTTAAACCCCTATTAGTAATCTCATTTCATTCATTGAGAAATATTTACTGCATGCCTTCTCTGGGCCAGGCACTGTTCTGGAAATACATATTGGGAAGTATCCATGAAGGAAAAAAATAAGAAAACACCAAGGCAAGGAGGCACAGAGAGGATAGGCAGCCTTGGGAAAGAATGTGTGACTGATTTCTTCCAGATTCAGGCCTTTCCTATTAGAAAATCAGCAATTTGAAAATTCTAGTTCTCCATCTTTCTCACAAGCAAAATGTTAAAATCCAGCTTGTCTTATCTCATATTGACTTTTATTGACATTGACTTTCTCGTTATATGTCCTCACATTTAATCTTTCCTCTCGAGCTTTATCACTGCTGCATCTGTCGACATTTTCAGATGTAGCAAAGGATCCTGCTTCTGATATTGCCTGTGCCTGGAATTACTTGCTTTCCTAGTCTGACACAGTTTGTCTACTTTTAACTCCAAATGTCAAAACTTGAAAAAAAGGTTCAAGGACTTGGCTATTTGCTACTACTTGGGCTGCTTCTACCACTCCGAGTTACCACTACAGTCATCAGTCTATATTTCACGCAAGATCCCCTTCTGAAATGTGATTATGTCCATTTTCAGGCAATTCTATCTTCAAGGTCCAATTTACCTCTACCAAAAAGACTTTTTGTAAGGCAAAAAGAAATAAATGTGCCCTCCAAGACTGTAAAAGTATGTCTTTGATAAATCCCAACGTAAAGTACATAATAAATGTGGGACTTAAAAGAATGTAAAATACTCAAATAACGGAATTTGAGTCTTATATGATAATTACTATATACCCTATAATAAACTTAAACTCCTAGTGTTCTCTTGGCTTACCTCAAATGTTCTGAGTTTGGGAGTAATTTCTTCAAGCAAATGCAGATCTTTGGAAACCATGACCTTTAGTTTGTTCCACTTTCCTTGGACATCATGAAATTCCTGTTTATATTTTTTTTCTACATCAGGAGGAACATTTTTCTCCAAAGCCTTTGTTTCTTCTGCAAGTTTGTGTAATGTAGGTTTTTGATTCTCAAGGATTTCATCAAGGGCCTGGGAAAAGTTTTAAAAGTTTAAAAATATGCACAACAATGTGTCTGTAGAGAAATGATAATATGGGCTATAGAAAGTCCAAAGTCACCTCAAAAAGCATTTTTATCAAAAAAAAAAAAAAAAGAATTGTGAAAAACTCAAAAAATAGGCATAATCAAAAAAGTTAAAGCTTTTCCTTCATGAGTTGTTGTGAGTGGGCAACATAATATATTCTCAACACTAAAAACCACCAAACAACACATCCCATGTGGGTAGAGTGTGCACCACTTGATGGTCAGTCTTTTTCTTTCTGGTAAACTAGTGCAGAGTCATAAGGCTACTCAACTAAATGACCTTGGAAGCATTCTTATTTAACACAGAGAACACACACACATCAATTCAACTGATGTTTTCATTTCATTAAAGATATCATAGTAGATTATCAACAGGTTGAGAATTTTAGGCAAATTACAATGGAAGGAGAAAATATGCTTTTCTTCTATTAAAAATATTTGGTAACTATCTTTTCTTTTATCTGAGTCTCCATCACAGTAACTAACCTCCAAATTGTAATAAACTTTTAGGCCAATTTTGACCAAAAATGACAATTGTTTTAAATCTCTAGGAAATTTTTTTCAAATATGAATATGAGATATCAGAAGTGTCATTAGAGTCTGAACACCTAAAACACATATTACCTTTTTTTCTTGCAGGCCTTTCTCCATCTTGGCAAGATCATTAAGGACATTCAGAGACATCTGGGCCTTATTTTCTGAATCATTTAGTGTATCTTTCAGTGTTTTCAATGTTTCCAAATATGTGTGTCCAGGTCGGCTCTTCAGTTCTGTTTATTTAAGAATAATTACTTTGAGAAAATAATATTAAGAGCAAATACTATTACATATACCATTAATCTTCTCTATATCATAATTGAATTCCAATACACATTAAGTGAGACTCCATGATTAAAATTTAAAAGGGTCTCTGTCGGTTAATAAAATAGATCATTCCACTGGCATTTCTGAGAGTCAGACAGTGACTTCATTCCCACTGATGTTGACATTTGAAATATTAACTAACCAACTATCATTTCTCTTCATTTCACCATGATGAAATGTCTCTCTGAAGATGGAACAACAATGTCCCTTTTGTCCCATATCATCTCCTCTTCCCCCATAGCTACACAAAGAATAAAAGAAAACAAAGTACCCCTCAACCAGTCATCCTATAAGCTCAAGCACATAGATAAACCCATCTACAGAGTGGTGGGCATCATATGAAAATACTGCCAGGCTGCTACAGACACTCTGAGAAATAATGACTGCAAAAGGCAGTTGGAATGCTATGTCAGTCACTATTGTAAAAATACACACAGAAGTAACACTTGTGTGGAAAGGAAGTGAGTTCATTTGAAGCACAGAGAGATGAAGTCAAGTAGCAGCAAAAGTTAAACTGCCTACTGACTCTTGTCAAAAATGAAAGCGTGGCCTGTACCAGTAAGTGAAGAAAGAGGTCCTCTCAAAGAGTTATTTCACATTCTGGGTTAGCTGAATTCAGTGAACATAGACATGGTGTCCAAATGTCCTTCCAGAAGAAAGGCAACGTGACACATTTGCCTAACATGCACATACAGACTCTTGCAGTCATTACACAATCTGCTTTGATGAAGTAAGGCTGTGGTTACATGCAGAGTTTTTCAGTTTGCATTACCCATAACAACACACAATACTACAGAATTCCTAACTTTTAACAGCAGCTAGGATCACCAGGCATGGAGCTCACGCCTGTAATCCCAGCACTTTGGGAGGTGGAGGCAAGAGGATTGCCGGAGCCCAGGGGTTCAAGACCAGCCTGGGCAACTTGGAGAGACCTCATCTCTGCAAGAAATCAAAAAAATTCACCGGGCGTGGTGGCGCACACCTATAGTTCCAACTAATTGGAAGGCTGAGGCAAAGGGATTGCCTGAGCCCCAGCAGGTCAAGGCTGCGGTGGCCGTGAGCACGTCTCTGCACTCCAGCCTGGACAATAGAGCAAGACTCCAACTAAAAAAAAAAAAAGAAAAAAAGAAAAAGAAAGAAAGCAGTTAGGAAGAAAAATAGTAGCATATGCAGGATGAGCTTTTAAAACCTTTACCAGTTAGTTTTCCAAAACCAGGTGTATTTCAAAAGTAAGAACTCTAAAATTTTTGGATTCCAAAAAAAATCATGACTTCTTTTTTTTTAAAAAAAAAAGAGGGAATAGTATCATTAAAATTTTAGCCATTTTGAGGAAACAGAAGCAAATGATCAATCTTTTCAGTCCTCCTAGGAAGAATATTAAGTGCCCTCCTCAATCAAAAGAAAAAACATCACCTATTTCTCTGCTAAAAAAAAAAAAACTCCTTAAAAATCATTATAGCCTAGTAACACAATTTTAGAGTCTATGAAAGCTGTTTGTATTTTTACAAAAAAGTGTGAATCCAGGAAAGAGTCTGAATACGGTATACTTTAAGACCTTGAACAAACCAGGCACAGAGGAAAACCAGGTGAAGTTGATGCAAAATATTATAATCAAATATACTGAAAGTCTAATTGTTGGAAGAAATTTTTAAATCAAGGCAAACTGAAAGAGGAGATAATAAAATCACTGAATAAGAAAACCAAAAAAATGGGTTTACCCTTTTCTAGCCATTTCTGACGATCCTCTAAAGTCTGTAGCACAGCTTGGTAGCGACCCAGAAAGCTATCGAAGCCCTGCTGGACAAAGTCTGGGACAGAAGGCCGAGATTTCAGGGCCAAGCAGCTTGCTCGTGCCATTTCAATTTTGGCGTGGAGGCCAAGGAGATGGGTTGATTCCCGCTATAAAAGAGAAAATGCAGTCATATAACTCACTGAAGATAGACATCCTCACAGAAAAGTCAATTACAGCAGAATTAACTTAAAGTTCATGATGATATGAGAAGCATCTTCTTGTATAAGAAGAGACTGGGCGTAGGATTCTTTTCACATCCCAGATGAGTGACTCCTTACCTGACAGGAATCCTTCAAACTTGGTAAGGACTGCTGGGGAGATTCAGAAAATGGGGTGTGTTTTACCCACTCCTCCTTTTTCTTTAGGACCTTTTCAAGCTCATCAAGCTGCTTGAAATAAGCATTTATATCTTCCTGTAGCTGAATCTTTCTTGCCACCTCTTCCAAATGCTGAGATATGCTCTTCCATTCTGATAAAACTTTCTCCAGAACAGTTTTTATTTCTTCAGTAGAAAGACCTTCTACATGACATGAAAAATAAGTGGATACTTCATATAGTATTACGAAATTTGTCTTGAATTTGTTCTAAGCATTCTACATATTCAAACTAATGAGGCAATGTCACATCTAATCGTCACTTCCTTATGTCCCTTTTAACACCAAAAAAATTAGTAATCACGCACTTAAAATAATTATGTTTAGTTTAAGTCTTTTGACCAAAGAAGGGGGCATCGTAAAATAGTTCAAGAGTAAATGTGGCTATCGCAAAAGGCACATCAGTAGAACTTCAGTCACTGCCAGTCCTACAGAATATGTGTTTCCATCCTTCGCATGCTGCCACTCTGCCAGTTTATAATCGGAACCAGGGAAATAAAATCAACCACCCTGGTCTGCCTAGGGCTTGGACTTCAGATGGTGTCCTAAAAAAAAGACGCTGGCTAAAAAAACCAAGAGGCTGCTCAAGTCTTTGGTGACTGAAGCACGGTGCCATATAAATTGCAAAACGAATGGCAAGAAAGAATTCCGTTACCAAGGAAGCAATATGGTGAGTGCAGAAATGTTACCTCAGCAGCCAGGCCCAAAAAGCATCAACAAGCCTGCTGGGCACCTTGAGTACAGATAAGCAAATACCAAAATATCAAGACAACTGGTAAGATTATCTACTTTAGAAACACATCAGAATAAAAGTCATTATTTTTATTACTGGATGCATAATTTTGTTTGTCTCATATTTTTGGGAGATAGAGAATGCTCCTAGAAATGATAAAGTTATATATTATAAATTATAAAATATCTTCAAATCCTTTAAAATAGCTGTGAAAGAGTAAGAGAAATCTGCAAAGAAATCTTTCTATTCAGAGGAGAACACACATGTTTAAAGGATGGGCTTCACATTTTTATTGTTTGAGGAGGGCAAGAAAGCAATTGTGCTTTGTAAACACATGCAATCAAAATCCAGGATAATGAGAATTTGAACTAAAAAAAGAAAGATGTCATGTAAAAAAAAACAAAAGGTCACTTATGATCCACCAACAATGCAACTTTCAAATTTTCTAAAATACACTGTAGCCATTGAAAATTACAAATGCAAACATGACATGGCATCATTTGAATATATCTTCCATGTCAGCTGCTGAAGTTCACTGCTCACCACCATCAGGCAGAATATCAGATCTAGTTAAAATATTCACACCATGAGTCATGTTCAAGTATTCCCATTAATAGGGGTCATAACCAAAACAGATCACCATTTCCTAAAAATCTGAACAATGAAGATGTGGGCTGTACCTTTGCTAGTTCATTTCTGTCCTAGGTGGACATAGGAACAATAACATCAGCTACATTATTTTTATGTCAGGGTAATTTATGCTAACAAGGAAGAAAATTAAACAAGTAAATAAAATTTCTGGGATGAAAAATTATCACCTCTCATCTAGAAACTGGTAAGAGGGATTCATTTCAGGCACTAGAGAAGCTGAAGAGACTTCTTCAATTATTCACTCACTGACAATGTCTCATGATCCATTCATTTTGTCTCTCCAAACCAATTCTAAACACTAAAATCTCCCCTTCTTTCAGATATTGCTGGTTGTAATGATGTCAGGTAATGATTAAAGCATAATTTCCTTTAAAAAAGGAAAACTGCACAGTCTTTAAAAACAATTGTTTTGCTCCCAGAGATCCAGAGTTATAAATTTCCTATTTCCATAAAACACCCAATTCTTAGAAGATGACTAGCCAAAAGCCAAAATCAATAACACATCTTTTTGTTAATTATCTAGAAGGGACAAAATGTAACATATTCCTGCATTTATTCTCACTTGACTTTACACATTTCAATCTATCACTGTTGGAATCAAGGGAAATATTTACAAAATAAAGGACCATCACCAAATTTATAGGTTTATATAGTTAGTCATAAGGGGCATTAATTCATGAAGCTACATTATCCAGGTCCCCAACTACTCTTTTAATTAGCTGACAATCACTAGGAACAAGATAATCTAAACCAAGAAAACCAAGCATATCAGCCATGAAAGTCAAATGAAACAAATTATTTTGTCTTTTAAAAAACATTTTTATCCTCTGTGAGATAACACAAAACTTAACTCAAATGCATTATGTAAGAGAGACCTATCAGACTTGGCTGTAGTAGGCTTCTGGACAGGACAGAACTGGTTTCAGGAAAACAGTAATATGATAATTTGAACATCTGTTTTACTGAAGAATTTGATATGCTTTGCTAACTAAACTGAAATATATAGAATCAATTCAGTTCAGTTCCTCCAATTTCCACCTTTCATTGTTGTCAAAAAAATATGTTTTGAATGTGTATGTCTTCTAAAATAAATAGAATTAGGATCCTCTAATAAATGCACTTCTAGTTCTACCAAAGGCTGAAAAAATGATAATACAAAATATAAAAGGTTTCCTAAAAAATTGGACACGTGTACTTTAAGTGATAAAATTCATTCCTTTCTGAAGCCATATAGCTTATATTCTCTGATGTCGCACTTGACCATTTGCAAGCAGAACTTTCACACGAATTGAATTTCCAGAGTATGTCTTGTTAGGGAACTTCACAGGGTAGAATTTTATCTAGCAAAAGCTATACTCAGCTAATGAACTCCCTCACTTCCTAGACACCAAAGCAAAAAAAAAAAAAAGGTTTCAAGACTTGCCCAGTGACAAGAAACTAGAAAAAGACAGGAAAATCTAAGTCTACCCATTCCTCCATGTGTTGCTACTTTCACTATAACATCAGCTATCACCAGCTTCTCACCCCTAAGTCTTCTCCATCAATCTTCACTAATTCTGGCACACCAACTAAAAGCTGACATACAACTGGGGGTAGATTCAGTACCAGACTCATGAAGTTACCCACATTCACATCAGATAGTCTGAGGCCCAACAGACGATGTTGAGGTAGAAGTAAAGAATCTACAATTGTAACTGACAAATTCTATACCCAAGTTATTATACAACTACTGAAAGAATCATCATCGGCCAGGCTTGGTGGCTCAGCCTGTAATCCCGGGCTTTGGGAGGCCGACGTGAGTGGATTACCTGAGCCTGTGGGTTCGAGACCTGCCTGGGCAACTTGGTGAGACCTCATCTCTACAATAAATCAAAAAATTAGCCGGGGGTGGTAGCACGCGCCTGTAGTTCCAGTTACTCGGAAGGCTGAGGCAGAAGGATCGCCGGAGCCCAGCAGGTCGAGGCTGTGGTGGCCAGGAGCGGCCACTTCACTCCAGTCTGGGCGACAGATTGAGACTTCAACTCAAAAAAAACAAAAAACAAAAAAAAAAACACCATCTCCATCTCAAGGAATATTATGGTCTATTTGTGTCTCTGGGTCCCTTCAATACTTCAAAAAGTTATCTCCAAGTGAGGTACTCATACACACAAAAATTAAGACAATCTGCTAGGGTGAATTTTGAAAGGAAATACTAGTCTATTTAATTTTTTTAAGGAAAGAAATAAACCTTTAATACTAATGTGTGAATTAATAATAATATATTTGTATAACTTCAACATAAACGAACATACAGTAAACACATAATATACACTATAAGCTGTATATCGTGTGAATATAGCTATATATATTTATATCTCCAGTATATATACAAAATAAATAAACATTTTTTTGAAGGTTGGAGACAAAAAATAATCTAATGCCAAAAAAATAAGAATGGTTATTTTCTGAGATTGGGGAAGGTGACTGATCCCCAAAGAGACACCAGAGAACATTCTGGAAAGACAAATTTTCTATATAATGATTTGTTTGTGTAGGTTACATGGGTATATCTATTTGTTGAAACAGCACAGCTGAGTATCATACATTTCAATGTAAGCATATTTTACTTCAAAAAAAAACTGTAAACAGTAATAACCAAGAGGGTAAAGAGTGAGTAAAAGTATAGATAATTCAAGAATAGCAGAATATTGTTAATTACAGAACTGGGAAACTGGTACTGGAAAGTTCATTATACTATTCTGTTTGCTTTGTGTGTAGTTATAGTCTCCATAATAAAAAGTAAAAAAATTAAAAAACTGAATGCTATTGCCTTGAAGATTCTTGTCAAACTAATTTTCCTAATTCTGCCTTATGACTTTTGACAAGAAGAACTACAGCAGACCTCCAAAGCACTTATCACTTATAGAACAAGGAATAGGAAGTACAAGAAATGTCTTTCAAAGTCAGGCCAAACAAAGAATTACATGCAAAACTGAAAATCCATATTAATATCAATATTTAGACTCTTCTGAATTGCTGGGAGTTATAGCAAAAATAAATTATTTGGTGCAGGAAAAAATTTCAAATACAAGCAACATGTTATCAAATTTAACTATAAAATCAATATAATGCACTGAAAGTAATCAAAAATCAAATACTTCTAATGAATGTGAGTTCATTTCCCAAATATTCCCCAAGATAAGCTTTCTTTGGCCACCCCACAGCAAAAATTAAAAAGAAAAAAAATAAGAATAATAAATCCCCAATAAATAATCCTACAGGATAAAGTTTTTAAAGTCTTCTATTCCAGTGGATTTTAATGTTCTGCTGAGGTATCAAGGTTTCTGGTTCCCTGTTCCTATACAAAAACAGAACAACTTTGCCTTTATCTTTTTTTATAATCAGCTTCTGTATAAAATTTTATTTTCAAAATATTCTGCTGCTTGCCTAAAAAATTTTTTGAAAACCACTTTTTTAGCAAAAGGAGCATCGCAGTGTTAAAATAAATACTTAACATATCAAACTATAAATATTATTTGATGCCGCCATCTAAAAAATATGAAAAAAAAAATCAAGAGTCTCACCTTTCCCCATTTGCTCCACAAGGATTTGTCCAGTTTGGTTTAATTCATCCAGTCTGGGGATTCTTTCCATTTGTTCTTTTTCTAATCCCTGGAAATAAAGTCCCAAAATAAAAATAGTTCAATCTTTCTTCTCAATATAATATTGGCACCATTTTAAATTTTTAGGTTTAATGTCCCTCCTACCTTCCCATATTCTCTTTAGGTATTTCGGTTTACCCAAGGGAATACTACAGTACAAAGCTATGCAATTCCAGGCTACCCTCCAGACCTCCAGAGATGAATAAATCTAAAAAGGTAAATTCAAACAAGCAATGATCATAGAAACTATAAAACATTGGTTTCTTGTATTTTAAAAAAGTACACTATAATTATAAGCTCCTATCAAATGGAAATAACTAAGCCAGGCTTGGTGGCTCAGCCTGTAATCCCACGCCTTGGGAGGCTGAGGTGAGTGGATTGCCTGAGCACACGGGTTCGAGACCTACCTGGGCAACTTGGTGAGATCTCATCTCTACAATAAATCAAAAAAATTAGCTGGGTGTGGGAGTGCATGCCTGTAGTTCCAGTTACTTGGAAGGCTGAGGCAGAAGGATTGCTGGAGCCCAGCAGGTTGAGGCTGCGGTGGCCGGGAGCAGCCACTGCACTCCAGTCTGGGCAATAGAGTGAGACTCCAACTCAAAAAAAAAAAAAAGTGAAAATAACTAAAATTATATGTTAGATCTAGAATATCTATTCACACATATGGCCTGCATATGCCACACCATAAAAATAATGGTTTGAATCAAAAGAACTGAATGTGCTATACAGAGGTCACTGAATAAAAATTAATCAATAAGAAAAGCAACTAGAAATATTTTGAGGCTCAGTATTATTTGTTGGTGTTCTATTAATTCGAGGGTCTAAGACAAACTTCAACCACAACCATATTTCATACATAATTTTTAAAAATGAAAATATGCTTTACAACCCAAACTAAAACATTCTGTGCTTTATGTTTGAGGAGTAGCTCTTAATTTCCATATTTTTATTTATATAGTTTGATAGTCTGAAGACAACAATCTTCCCAGGACAAGTAAGAATGGGACAAGCAAAATCATATACACACACATACACATTGAGTGCACACAAATCAATATTAGGAATGTCTCCCATTCCTTTCTCCCCAACTAATATTTATATACTAATTAACAATTGAAATAGTGTCCATAATAACACAATTAAAACTTCTAGGCAACCTATATTATGTCAACCAGACAATCCAGAGAATTCCACTTCTAAGTTCTTTACATGTAAGCACTATGAAATAAATTCAGCTCTTCTACTTTGACCTTCACAAACGTTAATATGACTAGATAGAACAATCATTTTTATGGTCAAAGATAAATAAATATTAGCAAGATATTTTAAAAAACATCATTGGGGACCAAAGGGAGACCCAAACTTTAACTGTATGATGACCACTTGTATACCTAAACCTGAATCGTATCCCACATCTTGAAAATAAAAATTTAAAAAAAAAAAAGAAACACCATTAGTTTCTGTTTAATCAATGCAAAAAAATCACCATCAAACTGGACAAAAAATGATTATCTGCTTTTAACAAAGAGATTTTTTTGCTACTTCTTAACAGTGACAAGAGACTACAGACTATGGATTCTCCACATGAGTACTTCATCAGTTGTAGCAAGATATTTCCTTACTTAAAACAAAAAAAATTAAAATGGTCATACCCTAATTTGCCAGAAAAATTAGGGATGAGGATAATGATTAAATTTTGTTTATTTTACACTTTTTCCAACTCTTTGGCATCTAATACTACTAGTCTGAAACAACAAAAATCAACTTAAAGATAAATATTAAATGAAATACATAGAAACTGGCAATCATGCCTTACATATGCAGTTGCTATTTTATCCTCCCCAAAAATATTATAGTAACAGTTTCTGCCAGTAAAATTGTTCCTGGATCACAGGATGAACTTTAACTTATCATCATTTTGGGGATTTGTTCCATGAAAATCACTATTACTAGTAAATTTGCTGCTACCTGAATGCCTTTGAGAATTAGGTTGTTAAAAGATCATTAATATATCAATCTTTCAGAACTGTAAAACATATAAAATGATATAAAACAGGTTGGGTGCAGTGGCTCATAACTGTAATCCCAGTACTTTGGGAGGCCTAGGTAGGAGAATCACTTGAGCCCAGGTATTCAAGACCAGCCTGGGAGACATAATGAGAACTTGTCTCTATAAAAATAAAATAAAATAAAATAAAATAAAATAAAAATAATTATTAAAAGAATAATAATAAAGAAATTATATAAAACAGGTCTCACTTCTGGCTCTCTCCATTCTCTGTACAGAGGACTTTGATAAAGGAAGGTATTTCTAATTCAGCCACCTCCTCCATTTCCCCTGCCCACAGTCACATGCCCCCTTCCATGAGCCAAGAGCTTTACCAAGTGCTGAAAATACAGGGTACAAGGAAAAATGTTCTTAATTTCTAATCCCTCACAGGCAGGCATAGCAATAAATAAATTTAGCATAAATGCAAGAAGGGATTTCATGGAGATATGACCAAAACCATATGGAAGTCAAAAATTTAGTCACTTAACTCTTTCTAGTGAGACTAAGAGAGGCTTCCTGGAGTGGGGGGCATTTCAACCGCACAGCAAGATGGGCTTAATGGAGAGCCATTTGGGGCAAGGAAGACAGCACCTAGTAAAGGCAGGAAAGTGAGAAAAGGGCAGAAGTCCAGAGGGCTAAAGCTCAGGCTGCATGTGGGGTACTAAGAGAGAATGAGGCTGTGTTTAGAGGGAGGGAAGTGTGCCCGCTGGAAAGCCCTTGAATGCTGAGGCATTATGGAGGATCTTATCCCCATCGTGATGGGAGCCTTTCATGGATTGCAACCACAGAAGCTGCCTGATCAGATTTATATTTGAGAAAGATCATCAGGTCACAGAAGCCAAGGGCTGTGAGAATTTAAGAAGGAGGAAAGAGAAACAGTGGCAAATACTGCAGAGAAAGCAGGTCTGATGAGAAAGAAATGCATTCTTTGGATTTGGAAACCAAACAGTCAGTGATGACCTGAAGAAGAACAGTTACAGTAGAACAATAAGGCACAAATCAGTCTCAACTTCCCACTAAAACAATCAAAGTCGATCAAGGTCTGACCTCAAACCACCTCTCCAACGTTAACTCTCCACTACTTATACACACACCTAGCACTAGACAAAATGAAGTGTTTGCTGTAATGGTCACAACACCCTTGCCTGCCTTGGTGCCTCTGTGTAAGAATTCCCTGAGACTGGTGTGCCCTCAGTGCCCTCAGCAACCTTCCTGAAAATTCCAGCTTAGGCTGCCTCACCCTCCTCTGGACTGTTTTGAGGCACCTATAATCCTGGCCTTCTCTCCATTCCCATGTCACTGACCACTTTCCTAATTCTACCTTAGAGATACACACACATCTTGTTTTTTAAATATCCTCCAAACTCTTTAAAAACAAACTCCCCAGCCTGGGCAACATAGCGAGACTTCATCACTACAAAAAATCTAAAACTTAGCAAGGCGTGGTAGTCCACACCTGTGCCCCTAGCTACTCAGGAGGCTGAGGCGGAAGGATTACCTGAGCCCAGGAGGTTGAGGCTGCAGTGAGCCATGATCATGCCACTGCTCTCCAGCCTGGGCAACAGAAACCCTGACCAAACAAAACAAAAAATTCCATAGCTGATACAGAAGCCACTACAAACTTACAACAGGTGCCAAATAGTTAATGCAGTGATGTCTAAAGGGAGGTATGATCACCAAGGACAAAAAAGCACCACATACTCTCATCACACTTTTCATTAACACACATAAGGGCGCAAAGTAGCAGACCTAAAATCCCATATACTTCAATAGTATTTCTTTTCCAAAACTGTGTCTCTAAAGAGAAAATATTGAAGAAATTTTGAGATATGAAATAGTTTGTTGCATTAGAAAGGCAAACCAGCTTCTGGCACAATGTTTACACAAAGTCATAAATTATTAGGTATCAGATTAAGGTGGTTCTAGACAAGCTAAGCAATAGTAATACTAATGGGCACAGGAAACGTCCCTTACTGCACACCTCAAGGGCTGAGGAGGAAAAAAATTTTTTAAAAAACCCTCCTCTAAACAGAGCTCTTGTGACAACTAGTGTGAATGGAATCACAATTTACTAAAGTGTTCTAAAAGCTACCTTCCACCTACAGCTATTTTGCAGGAATTTCTGGATCCCATCATATCTTTATGCCAACAGAAAATCTAGTGGGATAAAATAGTTTATGCACTTAGATATTTTTAATTTAAGTTTTACCTTCAACTTCTTCTTCATTTCAGATGTCTCTTGCATCTTCTTGAACTCTTTTATCTCTGTGGTCTGAAGGTCAGTCTTTGATTTCAAAATCCAATTCAACAGCTCTACACTTACAGCATCAAACCTGATTTAAGATCAGACATTAGTATTTTGTCATTTGTTTTCTTCTGTCATTTTATTTGGCTCAAGAAACAGCAACCCAAATTCCCATCAGGCATGTGTTTTTAAATATTCTCTCAAAACAGCAACCCAGAAATACAGTAACAATGAATAATAAGATGATACATTTACAATCAAAAGTAGAAAAAGAGTAATAAATGATCTGAAGAAAATAATTAAATAAAATTTTTAACTTTTATATACTTAGGAAAAATTTTAGCTTTATAAGGAATCATTTATCATTTTATAAACTTTTGTAGAGAATGAAAATCAGATTTGGTTAGAAAACATCAGAAAAGAACAAATACAGCTATTTCTAAAGTTAATGCCTTCTTTTGTTCAATATGTAATGACTAAGCCTTACTGTATGCCAGGCATTGGACTAGGCTCTCAAAATGAAGGTGAACCAGACACAAATCTCAGCCTTCAAAGAGCTTCTAGTCTAGCAAACAGGCAATAACAAAAGAAACAGGCAATAACAAAAGAATTTGCTACACGTTAATTCCAGGAATTAGCAGGAGTGGCTCCTAATCTGGTCAGGGAAAGGATGGCTTCCTAGAGGAGAACAACACAATTATGCTTAGGTGTTTTCCTTGCCAAGGGAGAACAAAGAAAGGGAAGATCACATTTTACAAACTGCAAGTAGTTGGGTGTGTCTAGAATAGTGAGTTCTGTACTCACAGGGAGAGACAATTGACAATGTGGCCAAGAATCACATGAACCAGTTACGGGAAGGCCCTGCAGAACATATTTAGGAGTTTGCACTTAGCCAGAGGGCAGCTGAGAGCCAAAAGAGGGTCTGAAGCACGGGACTGACATGGATCTCTTCAGACTTCAGTGCTCACTGAGGAGAAGATATTAAAGAGAGGCAAGAGCAGAGAAAAAGCTGTAGTCGCATCAGGAGCAAGAACTAAGAATGACAGTAGACGGCAGGCTTGAAAGGTCTTGAGCTGGTAGATCAAAATCATGGAGAGGAGGAACAAGAGAGGAAACAGTCATTGGTTGCTGTCTATATACCTGGCCATATACCATATACCTGTCCCTTTCTAAGCATTATATGTGTACATTATTACCTCAAGAAATTCTTACAACTACCCTATGAAATACATACTATTATTAGCCATTTTAGAGATGAAGGAATGGAGCTCATAGAGGTTTTCTGTAACTGTCCCACGTCATAAACCTAACAAAATGGGAGAAGTGGGATTCAAACCAAGGTGGCCCTTCTCAACTCTAGCAAAACAAGTTGTGATTCTTGGAGAAAGTTTGCTAAAATGCATTTCTAGTGAATTATGAATATTTATCTTTTCATCGAGGTAAATTTCCCTTGCAGTATGTAAGAGTATAGCTCAAACAGGGATACATTCCTCTTGTCATATTTTTGTCATTGCTGTTTTGCTTTGAGTTGGGGTCTCACTGTCATGCAGGCTTCAGTACAATGGCACAATCACAATCATGGCTCACTGCAGCCATTGCCTCCTGGGCTCAGGCAATCTTTCCACTTCAGCTTCCTGAGTAGCTGGGACTTACAGAGTTGTGCCACCACACCTGGCTAATTTTTTTATTTTTTATAGAGAAGTGGTGTCACTACATTGCCTAAGCTGGTCTCGAACTGCTGGGCTTAAGGAATCCTCCTGCCTCAGTCACTCAAAGTGCTGGGATTACAAGTATAAGCCACTGTGCCTGACATCCTCCTGTCATCTTAACAGCAGATTTCTATTGGATCTTTCTGAGAAGAGGAGAGCCATCCAAAGATCACCCATTTACAATGACTTTGGAGGCCCAGTCAATTTCTGCCCTCAATATGAATAGGAGTGATGCTTGATTTCAGGCCATAGTAACAGACATCCACATCCTAAAAAAAGCATTTGTGCCCTGGACTGATGAAAACAGCCACCAACAGCACCAAGGGAAGAGAAGGGCAAAGGAGTCGCCATTTTTAAGCTGTACATATTAAACTAGACACTGAGTTAAGCAGTTATGTAAGGCCTTCAATTGTTCAGGCAATCCATTTTATGACAAGTCAACAGCAGTTTATACAATAGACTGAAATATGAAAGGGAGGGTCTAGAAATCATGTCACGAAAGAATAATTAAGGATATTCTGGACTTTAGGACAATTAACACTAAAATATAAAAGCTACCTTCAGAGACTGAGGAGATCATATATTGAAGAGGGCTATGTGGGTCTACATTACTCCGGAAAGAAGAACTAGCACACGTGGGGAGACTTAGGGGGACAGAATTTAACTGATCATAAAATTAACGTTTCTAATAATGAGACTGACCTGTAATGAACTGGATATACTCAAGCCTCTGTTTGTCCAGGAATGAACTGAAGGCATGTCTACATCAGTCAAACTGTGGAGTCAACAAATGTGGCCCTTGCAGCTGGTGACCCACCCAACAGACATCCCCTCTCCACACTTCTTCTTTGCTTTCCAAGTCTCCAAGACACAGCCAAATAGACTGAAAAGGCCAGATAGTTTCAACTTGCCACGCACCCAGAGTATGAACAAGTGACTCAACCCTGGCCAGTGAGACCAGGGGAAGTTTGCTGAGATGACAAGGCTGAGAGTGAAAGTCAAATCCAAGGATGGCAGAGACTACATATGGAGGGTTGCAGAACCACACCCTCCCATAAAAACTGTCCAGCATTCAGACTTCCTGTAATGGGAGATCACCAATGACCTCATGGTATAAAACACGTTAGGCATGGTATTCTGGTTCTTGTAGCAGAGTGTACTCTATACCACACAGTCATGTTTAAATTAAGATTTCACAGGTATGCATTCCAGTCTTGTACAACCTTCAGTGCTTCCAGATACACAAAGTCAGTACTGGAAAGATAACACTGCCAGATACACCTGGCAGATAATAAGCACTGGGGAAATGTAAGATATGTGCTAACATTGTTGGGGAATTCTTGTTTGTTTTGTTTTTTTGTTTTGTTTTTTGTTTTGTTTTGTTTTGTTTTGAGTCGGGGTCTCACTCATCACCCAGGCTGGAGTGCAGTGGCATGATCATGGTTCACCACAGCATCAACCCCCTGGGCTCAGGAGATCCTTCCACTTCAGCCTCCTGAGTAGTTGGGACTAGAGACACACCACCATACCCAGCTGATGTTTTTATTTTGTACAGACAAGGTCCTGCTATGCTGTCTAGGCTTGTCTCAAACTCCTGGGCTCAAGCAACCCTCCCGTTTTAGCTCCCATAGTGCTGGGATTAGGTGTGAGTCATAGTGCCCAGCCATATCTATGCTAACATTAACATCAGAGGCATCTTCTTCCTGTGCTGCCATGCCATCAAAAGTAAAGGTTCCACAATTGCTGCTTGCAACTCACACATACACTAGTCAGGCAAGAAGATGCTGTCAGGAGGCAGAAACAAAGTCTTATCAAAATAGAAACCATCTGGTAATATTGGAATCCTGTTTTATCTAATAAAAGCTAAATTAGGGAAAGCACATCATTTTTATTCAAGTCCCAAATAATTTATCATTTATCCAAGCACTGGAGCTCTACTATAAGAGGGGGAGAATAGTACTACTTGACTGGGCACGGTAATCCCAGCACTTTTGGAGGCCACTTGTAATCCCTGCACTTTGGGAGGTTGCTTGTAATCCCAGCACTTTGGGAGGCTGAAGCGGGAGGATTGCTTGGGGTCAGGAATCCAAGACCAGCCTGGGCAACATAGTGAGACCCTATCTACAGACTAAAGGAAAATAAAAATAGTACTATTCAAAGACAGGTTTGAGGATTATGGTGCATGTCTGATATAGTACCTGAGACACAGTATAGGTTAACGATATCTGACATCAGTAAAATCTCAACATATGTCAGCTGTGATTACGCTTCTTATAAGGATTCTGAGTTTTCTTTTGCATTAGTAGGACAAAAAAAGATATTTTATGCCAAAGATGGATCTTTAGACCAAACACAAAGAATATGTTAATGAATCTGACAAAGAAATTAACAAAGGAAACAAGAAAACATGATAAAGATGAGGGGGGAAAAGGAGACTAAAAATTAATTGTTTATCTGAATTAAATATTTGTTTAATGGTGAAAAGTGGAAGGAATTCATGAAGAAACAAGATGTCTGTCTAAGTCAAAATTGTCCGAGGTGTGAATAGTGAAAGAAAGAACAAATGGCAGTTATAGATAATCACATCCTCCCGCAGTGAATGATGGGAAGGGAAGCAGAAAGGGCTCTGCCACACAGCACTTCAAACTGAACACAAGATAAGTAAAGTCATCCAAGGCAATTTTGATGCTTTGCTTGTGTAAAGTAGAATATTCAGAAGACTCAGGGGCAGTGAGTGGTTCAGTAGTTGAATTTCCATAATAATAATGCCTACATTTGCAAATGATTCGTGATTAGTACAAAATAAGTACAAGTATCAAATATATTATGCGCAGTATTGGGTTTGAAACATTTCCCTGTCTGTTCTCACTTTTTCTTAGCTTCAACATCCACATGGATCTGTCTCTTCTTCGGGGGAGGAGGAGGAGGCAGTTCCTGCTTGGACTTTTTGGTAGTTACTTGTTCTCTTACACGAACAGTCTCGAAAAGATCCTTCTGAGGAATCTGAGACATTCCCAGCTTTGCTACAGCCTGAGTCACCTGAAATAAAAATCATTCAAAGTTTTAATTTTTTGTAATGTCTTTATTGAGATATAATTCACATGCCATAAAATTCTTCCTTTGAAAAAGTAAATTCAATGATAATTAGTATATTCATGGAGACGTACAACTATCTTCACTCTCTACATTCAGAACAATTTTATCATCCACACTAACAGTCATACTCCATTCCCCACTCTCCAAGCGCTGGCAAACCACTCGTCTACTTTATGGATTCTCCTTGAATTTGCATATTCTGGACATTGCATATAAATGGAAACATAGTGCATATAATTTTGTGGCTGGCTTCTTTTACTTAGCACATTTTTAAGGTTTATCCACATTGTAGCATGTATCAATACTTTACTCTTGTCAAGTAATATTGTATTGTATAAATATACCACATTTTGTTTATCCATTCTTCTGTTGAAAGATATTTGGGTTGTTCCACTTTTTGACTCTTAAAAATGATGCTGCTACTATGAACATTTGTGTACAAACCAATGTTTTATGTTTGATCAATTCATTAAAATATTTTAAGATTAATAAGATTATTTAACATTAAAAATATTAAAATTATTTATTGGCTACCTGTCTAAGAGTTATCAGTTACTAGGAATTAAATTACTAGATATTAAGATAAAATCTATGAAAATTTACCTTAGAAAACTGAAGGAAAAGACTTTCACATGGCAATTTTTCATCAGGTATAAGTAACCAAATTTTTAGTTTACCTACTATTCTTTTATTTCATTAAAACCAACCTGAATATTTACAATTAAATTTTTGCTGCATGGCACAACATACTATGCAAATCAAAAAGCACCTGATTGGACGAATCTTCTAGTCTCTGAACCAAAGAATCCCATCTTTGAGTCAATTCCTCTGAGTCACTGTTGATCTTCTTAGATGCCTTGGGATTATCAAGTAATTGACCCACATCCTGGCCAATCTCACTCAGTTGATCCAATGTTTGACGCTTCATTTCCATGTCTTCCTTCAAAATCTAGCATTTCAGATATTTATTAGATGACTGTCTCCTAACAGGACTTTATCTTCCTGTTCCCCAGTCAAGAAATGTAAACATGTATATTTTATAGCTTGCAAGTAAGTTCGCAATGTTAAATATAAGATTCCTGGTTCCAGATCATTGCATGCCAACAGCCTAGTATAGAGTAATGAGTCATAATCCGTATTCACTGAATTGTATTAACAATTGTTATAAAACACTAAGATATCATAGATTTACAATACAGATGCTGACAATGACATCACTTACAGCCAGACGTCGAACACTGACACTCAGTTCCTTTTGGTCCTTGAAGTTGCTTGTCTGAACCTTATTTAAAGCCTCTTCTTTCTCAGTTAACCAAGCTTTCAACAAGCACTGCAAGAATAACAAAAGTTAAAAATATATCTGCAGAATCATTTGGTAATTCATTTCAATCAAGTTTCCAAATCTCTGCCTTTTTTTTTTTTGACTTGAGGTCACACTCTGTCACCTACACTGGAGTGCAGTGGCACAATCAGAGCTCACAGAAACCTCGCCCTCCTGACCTCAGGTGATCCTTTCACCTCAGCCTCCTGAGTAGTTGAAACTACAGGTACACACTGCCATACTCAGTTAACTTTTATTTTTTGTAGAGATGGGGATTTCGCTAATGTTGCCTCCGCTAGTCTAGAACTCCTGGGCTCAAGCAATCCTTCCACCTCAGCCTCCCAAAATGCTGAGAGAGCAAACATGAGCCTCTATGCCTGGTTTTTTGTTTGTTTTTCTTTCTTTCTTTCTTTTTTAATTAGAGGTTACACTGTTACCTGGGGAGAGGGACCTCAAACACCTAAGTCTGAGGCACAAATGACGCGGAAAAACACCTTTCTTTAAAATATTACCATTCTCAGACTTGCAACAGATCAACCTAACATTAGTCCCATACCTGGGTAACTAAACTTAATTTTCAAGAAGGTGGGTACAGAGGAAAGGCTAAATCCAACTATCCAAGTCTCCAAAAGAATCACACTGTAACACTCGACAGGCAAAAGGAAGCTCAGAGATTGTCTTGTCCCAATCCCTCATTTTAGGGAGTAAGAAAAGAGAAGTCAAATTACACATCCAAGATCACCTGGCTCGTTAATGGCAGAGCTGGGTCAAGGGTCCCACCACAAAACCAAAGATTCTTTCTGTGGCATCATGCAAGAAAGTCACACTCACATTCAAAGTTCAAAAGCAATTATGGCTAAAGGAGGAAGTATGAGAATCATTCAAAGCCAATATAAAGATATTTAAACTTCATAGGCCAACAATGCATGTTTTTTAAGCATAACCTTTTTAATAATGTACAGAGAAAACTTTGAAATATGATGGAAAACAACTGTGGTGGCATTGAGATAATTCTTTTCAAAATGTAGTATCTACCACAGAAACCCTTTTCTATACAGCTGCAAACAAAAGATTTTTGTTCTGTGTTGGCCATGGAATCAATTCTTTCTCAATTGTTTTATTGATCAATTTATTTAACAACTATTCTTTGCTTTTATATTCCACAGGGGGAAGAAAAGATTAGGAAAATAAAAGACTACTATAGGTCCTGTTCTCAGTCTAGGAAGGCTGATAAGGAAGGTTGATAAGATATGCACATAAGTAACTATGGCACAAAATAGAAAGTACAGACAACACACACACACACACACACACACACACAGATAAACACAACACACACAATATAGTTAAAATGTCATATCACTACTAGAATGCAAATCAAAGATCAGCTTAAAACCTTAAGAGATACAAGTAGCCAAAACACCAGCCACTCCCTAGTATTTTCATTTTTTTATTATCCAAATTAAAATTATTTTCAAATCTGAAATTATTTTACTGGGAGAAGAGTAACACAATGATCTTCGATGACAATCAGTGTCTCTTACTGTCATTCTTGAAGTAAAATTTTAACTCTCCTATGAGACCTTTTGGCCTGAATAAAAGGTTCCAAGTAAATATAAATATGCGTAAAATGAAACATAAATATTTCAGAAATTAGAATCGGGTCTGATACATGATTCTTAATCAGAAAATTCTGACCAAAGACTGAGTGGGGGGAATAGTAATTAGCCATTTACATTTGGACAAATTTTGCAACCTACTTTTTAAGATGGACTATCTGCCACCATATTTAGGAAACCACAGAACATCATATCCTTGGATTTTTTTTTCCACCTAAAGAAAATAGAGTTGCTTTTTGTGGGTGGGAATGAAATGCATTTAAAAGAATCAAAATGGACACTGTGAAATGTGAGAATCGAGTATCTGCTTATTTTCTAAACCACAACTGTTTGGCACTTTGGGAGCAAAGTTTTGCTTATTTGTGCTTAGTTTTCATGGTTGCTTCTTCAGAAGAACAGAGGGTGGGCATAAGGACCATCACTCCGAATGAAAAATCAAGGTACCAGCTTTGCACCACAAGTTCATTTGCTGTGGTTGTTATTGGAAAAAAATATACTACTACTAAATGTTAAACCAAAGTTGTTGCTGTTAAATAATATTTTCTCAGTAATTTCAATACTTATCCTGGTTAAAAGTCAAGAAAAATTCCTATGACTTACAGTTCATAATGTATTAAGTGGCTTCCTAGTTTTCTTTATTTACTGAGTACAAACCATATGCTAGAAATTGTGCTGGTATAAATTCAAATATATTATCCAACACAAATCCAATAATAACTATAATTTCAAACAAATCATGAAAGTAGCACAGCTGAGTACTAACATTCTAAATAATAACATAGATCAAATCAGCATTATTAGAAGGAAACCATACAACATGATCTCTATGAATAAGCTGCCTGTTCAGTTATGAGTACAAATTTGATTTTCAAAATAATAATTATTTGCATATGTTCCTCTCAAAGCAAAGTAAACAAGGCAACTGTATTCTAATCTAATACCATAATAAAAGATAGTTTACTTTTCTTTTCTTTTTTTTTTTTTTTTTTGAGTTGAAGTCTCACTCTGTCACCTAGACTGGAGAGCAGTGGCCGCTCCCGGCCACCGCAGCCTCGCCTGCTGGGTGCCAGCGATCCTTCCGCCTCAGCCTTCCAAGTAGCTGAAACTACAAGCGAGCGCTACCACGCCCAGCTAATTTTTGATTTATTGTAGAGATGAGGTCTCGCCAAGTTGTCCAGGTGGGTCTCGAACTCGTGGGCTCAGGCAATCCACTCACCTCAGCCTCCCAAAGGCACGGGATTATAGGCTGAGCCACCGAGCCCAGCTGATAGGTTACTTTTCACCACTATATATTTTGCTCCCTACGGACAACAGCTTCATACCTGTTCTTCCAGTAATTCCTGCCACAAGATGTTGATTTCTTGTAGCCTATTCCAGCGTTCTTCAGTCCAACGGCACACTGCTGTCCAGCGTTCACCAAGTTTCTAGTTATGGAAGAAATCATCTTTGGTGAACACAACCTTAAGAGACAGTTACCACAATTCTTTAAAAAAGAATTCACGATTTCCATTGTTCTCTATTACAGCATAGCAATTCATGAAGAATATTTTCACAAAAGTTGCTTTAAAATAACAGACTAATCCATAAATATATAGATGAAAAAAACTACTTTCCATACAATGTAACACTATTTCAATAGCTAGCACATGATATAACTAGTACTCTATCCTATATCTTTGTCTCCAAATTCTTGCTCTTTCCACTTCATTGTGATTTTTGTATGAGAACTTGACATTTTTACATATATTTCAAAGCATATCTACCTTTTGTGCTTCAAATTTCCCAGGTTATAATTATCAAAAAAAAAGATTGCATCAATAATATTTCTTAACCATCTTTTACATGCCAAGAAACTTTTCATCTGTGATACTAAAATTATGAAAAATGTTTAACCTTATAAAACCTATATTTTAAATAAGGAAATTTTTATAAAGCAATAAAGTAAATTTTATGTTTGCATTACATGATCTATAGAAAATTGCTTATAAATTAGCAATAGAAACTTATAATTAACAATATTAAATACATAAATTTGATTAATTTTTAAAAAATCATTCTTCATGAATTTTCCCAAAATCATTTTATTATCATTTTATAAGTAATGATTAGTAAATGTTAAAATGTATTTCTACATTACTTACATATAAACAAAAGTTGTTTCATTCATACTACCCTATTTTGATATTTAATACGAGAGTAAGATTTTAATAGTGCAAAGGATAAAGGACTTAGAGCCAGAACACAGGTGTCTAGTCTCAGCATTTAAATCTTGTCTATTTAAATCTCAGGAACATCCCTTAACCTCTCTGAATTTTAGTTTCCTGGCTGCTAAGTCAGGAATACCCGTCTCTTAGGTTACTGTACTAAGTACTATTGCACTGAAGTTTCAGAACCACTATCTGACTTCAAATATTACCAAAGAAAAAGGATTTCATATGTTGACATTATAGTCTGGAAATCACAAATTGGCAACATTTTATGAGGTAATCCAAGTATCAGTCAGATGAAATAACAATAAATCTCTTTATAAAAACTTAAAAAGGCACTACCATCGTTGAGCAAAAAGAAGCAATTTGTTGGGATATCTAAAAATTTTGTTGAAATTCACACATTAATCTACCAAAGACACAGGGATATTAAATCCTACAAGCTGATATGCTCAAGCTTTAGTGTACATATAACTTTTTTTTTTTTTACAGAGCAGATTCACTACAATCCTCCCTCACCCAGACTCAGGTCAGCCTAGAGTTTAGGAATCTACATTTTAACAAATTCCTGGAGTGCTTCTGAACAAGAAGTCTGTAGGCTACTTGTTGAGATCAGTTCCTGTGTCAATACAACCACAAGGAAGCTGGGGCTGCCGCCAGCCCTGCCTGGTCACCACAAGGCCTAAAGTAAAAGACAATACCTGGATACTCCTATAACCCACACATTGTAGAACTCCAACTGGGAAGTACAACCAAAGGCAGGTTTTTCTACCCTTCTGAATAAACCATGAGACAGGACATGAAAAACAGGGACAACATGTAATTGGATCTCGGACCCCAAGTCCTCTGAGATTATCCTGCTTTACAGGGTCCTTACCTGTAACTGATCTTCCAAAATAGCTGTAGCACTCTCACCGCTGTTTTCATCAACAATTACCACCATGTGAGTTAAGGAATTTACTTTTACCTGTTCAGCCTCAAGATCATTTTGCAAACTCTAGAGAAAAAAGTAAGATAAACCATTTGTTTCACATTTACCTATTTAAAATGCACTCAGCTGTCAATAGTAATTAAGGACACTTAATGAGGCATTGTATTTAAATTTCCAGTCATTACCTTAAGTTTTCTACTAATGAAACAAGCCCATTACATGCCTTTATATTTCATTATGAACAACTGCAGTTTGAAAATGGAATGTCATACTAGATTGCAAATGGGAGATGTCACCATTTTTATTACAAGTTCTGGAACAACAACAATAACAAAAGTAACATAAAAGAATTGAATGTTTAAAGTACGAATTAAGACAAAAATGTAGAACTGGTAAAGCAAAAAAGTCCAGCACTTAAATACACAGAGTTAGAGATCATTTTATCTAGTGCAGGATTGTATAAAAGCAGAATGCTATATGACAGTCTGAAGTTAATCTGATTAGCTACCCAAAACACAACGATATATGGACAACCCCCACCCTCTCACCTTTTCTATGGAAGAGTGTAATCATTAGACATATGCATACAGGCAAATTATGTAAACACTATCAATACTGTAGTCAAATGCCTCCCTGAGCTGTGGCAATATATACTTAAAGCTTTATTTATCATTATCTAGATGTTCCACTGATCAATAAAATTCTTCAAACAATTTGCAGAGAGAATATTTTTTTCTTAACTTGACCAAATTAAACTATCCACCAAATTTTGGTTTCTCACCTAGTGCCTGATGCTTTCCTGGGTCAGAGAAGAAGCAACAGTTTTCCATAAAGGATTAGTTGTCTACCACTCAGGGTTTGCTTCATCACCCACACATTGCATTAATGCCAACACACTAGGGTTCTTAACCACTTATGGGATCCAAAAAAAATAACCTTTCTCAAATCTTACAAAAGCTATATGCTTTCATAAGAAAGCTGCACATTCCCGTATATTAATAAAATTGTACTTGTGCTTTCATCCCTGGCTCAGAAAAGTCACATTTCTGTGAACTTCACCCTATGCCCTGCTGAGTAAAGAGAACCCTGAGGAAGTGTCCCAACTCGGTGCTAATGACAGACGTCACCAGCCTCTGAGAATGCTAAGAGCTGCTCTTGTATATTTGATAAGGTATAAAAGAAATATGAGCCCGATTTACTTTATGTTCTTCCAGCAGCTTTTGCAGGGATTGGACATCATCATCCAGGGGGCACGTCTCCATCTTCTGGATGCGCTCCTCCGTGAAGGTTAGCCAGGTGGAAAGCTGCTGCAGCTGCTTCTTCTGTAGTTCCATCAGCACGTCATGCAGCCTGTCCATGGGGAGTACAGCGTTATTCCCTAGAGCTTTTTCCCTTTGCAAAGGCAAAAGCACATTCCAGGCACCAGAGATATGGGGCAAGGGGACACACCCTAGTCTAAACATTTAAAGTAGACTTTGGTCTTTAAATATAGAAAACAGGGGGGAAAAACTTATTTTCCTCCTAAATGGAGTCCAATAAATGCAGTTAAGAATGTCAATAACAGCACCCCATATTCGTATCAGAATCATTGTTTCTTCAATCAGGAATTCCTGCTTATTAAATAGGTGGAAATGGTAATGGAATGCAGTTTGCTCCTTAATACACAATACATGAAATAAAATGGACCATGGGAAAGCTTAGAAAAATGTTACAAAGTAGAATTGTGGATCAACACTACGTAGTCCTGTCTTCATATAGAGTTCACATAAATGCTTAGCCGATTTTAGACCTGCAAAGAGATAACTGTCCATATGAAATGCCTTTTCCCTGTTTGCTAAATTCTACATTCCAACTTTTACCTTTGTGTTTGGCTAACACATAAAAGGGAAAACAAAGATCATGCAAAATTCCAGCTACAAGACAAATAGGAAATAGTCTAACTCTTACAAGGCAAGTTCTATAACGATCTTGTTTTCACAGACATGTAGACTTCTACTTGAGGTCAGCTGTGCGATGCAACCTGTGGAATAAAGAGTCAATCTCTTGGCTTTTTACTTACCGGGACTGTCTATCCATACTCTCCACTCTAAGGGCCTCCCATCTAGCATTCAGCAGGGTCATCTGTTCTTGAATCTCAAACTCTTCTTCATCTGACAGAGTTCCTTGTGTTATCAGTTGGTTACCTGCCTGCAGGACACTGCCCACACTGCTCTGGTGTGCAGTCAGCTCCATCATGAAAGCCTAGAAAAATACATCACTATGATTTGTGGCCTACTCATTGCAACAACAACAAAAAAAAAAAAACAGAATTAATTGCTAATCCCTAGCCTAAATATCAATACTGTGGAAAACGGTAGCCTAAGAGAGTACAAATAAAGTAGACTTTGATCGAGGTTTTTAAGCTCTGAAAATAAGAATAAGCATCTAGCACAAGTAAATAGAGGAACAGTACAAGAAGACAATATTACATCTAATAATACCAGCTATTTTTAAGTAAATGCTGATTATGCTACTAATGGATCATGAACAGGGAATTATGAGTAAATGCAATAAATAAAACATCATGCTTACCCAAGAGGAACTGCTTAAGGAATATTACCATCACTATTTTATATCCAAAAGAGCAAATAAGTTCTATCTATTAACATACTTACACCAAAAAACTGCTTAAAAAAAGGAAATCTCCATATAGTCAAATTGACTACACTACAATATATCCCCAAAAGAATGGAAATCTTTTGTGTATAAAATTGTACAGTAACTATGAGTATGACATTTGCTTAATAGTGCAATTAAAAAAATAATAATTACTTTCTTGGGAACACTCAAAACCTAAAGATTTGGTGTATTGGTTAGTCATTTTGTTTTTTAACTATAAAAATACACTTCAGAAGTGAGCAGTACTATGCATTGATTTTCACCAGTGGCTCTACAAAATATACAAGTTACAATAAAAAAAATCTAAAATCTAATTCCAATGTACAGTTAATCACCCACACCAATTTTATAACAAAGCCCTATTTAAATATCACAAGTCCTAAAATAATCCACAACCTTTCCAGAGAGCAGAATTTAGTTAACAACAAACAACAGGGCAGAAGCCCTCATTGAGGCATAGGTCCATGGCAGACACACTGCACTCAGCCAACCAGATACTTACTTCATGGGTTGCAAACTGGTCTTTGACTTCTTCAACATCATCAGAAATGTCATCCTGCTCCTGGAAAGTGTCCTCGGCAGAAAGCAACCAGGTCAGCACTTCCTCCAGTGCTATCTGATAGCTGTCCAGATCCATGTCAACCTCAGTGACAGTGCTGGGGGTTTCAGCTCGGAGACTCTTGTGCTCCTCCTCGGGCCTTGCACTCTACAAAATCAAAGCCAAAAAACCCCCACAATTATCATAATACAAAACAAGGATACAAAGTATGGAGAATCCAAGGTGGATACCACCCTGTTTTAGGCATTAATCCAGTTCTCAGGAGTCAGGTGAGTAATGCCAGGAATTAGTCAGAAGCTTTTTGTTGAGTGTGCTAGGATGGCAAAGAGTAGAAAAGTGGCATGCACTCATGAGTTCTGTACTCGAGGAGATTCTAATATAGTTAAGCAGAGAGAAATAACCCACATGAAACACTTATGAACAAAAATAAAATGGGTTAGCAAAGTTATAAAAGCATGGTCCCAACAACGGATGATATTTGAGTTCACCAAGAACTAAAATAGGAAAAGTTTCATAAAGGAACTGGAACATGTTGGGCCTTCAAGGGTAGATGTCATGTAAAGAAAAACAAAGGTTAAAATTCTACTTTGACCCCCCCCTCCCCAGTTAAATTGTTTTTACTGAATTGCATGTTAGCCACTAAAAGACGGGCTACAAAGATGGGCTGTTGTACTGATTTTTTTCTTTTTTAAGGCAACTGCCCTTTAGTTTCCTTGCTAGCCTTTTTTTTTAAGGGCTAATGGGATACATTTCTCTCAAGCTCTTTGAAAGCAACTATTTCCTTATATACTTTAAAATCTTATAACCAAATGAACTCTCTTTCTGGTTCTTTTGTTCCTTTTCAGAGCAAAATTTCTTTAAAACCTGCCTATATCTTGTCTCCACATTATCATCTCTCCTCCACAATTTTACCATGGATATTACAGACGTGCAGAAACGTATAGAAAACAGTACAGGAAATGTTCATGCATTTAAAAGTGACAGTTTGTTGGCATTCCCTTTCACTGTGACTTGCAGTTTGCCCCCACCACTCAACTGAAAAGGCTTTTGCCAGCATCACCAATAACCTTCCAATCACCAAATGCACTTTTCCAGCATAACTTTTAAGATGAGCATATTATTAGTCAACAAAGTAGAATATTTTTTATACTAACTATGCTAGAACAACAAACCTAAACCAGAACCGTTCCAAGCAGACCTTACTCCACGTTTCTTCAGACCTCCATATCATTACTCATAGCTAGCCATCCCCGGCTTCTGGGAGCTCTCCTTTTCCTGCCTCAGTGATAGGACTCTGGTTTTCTGCCGACTCAATAGCACCTTATAACCTGTAAATAATGGATCTCCTCAAAATTAAGTCCTGGGCTCTTTTATCTTCTCCTGTGTACTTTGGATAACCTCATCTCCTCCCATTGGATTTAAAGAACCATCTACAACCACCCTGGAGTCTGAGCTCCAAACTCCTATGTTCCACTACCTTAACATCTCCAGTGTCTCAAACCATGTCCATATTTAAACTCCTCATTTTTTTCCCAAAACATGTTTCTCCTCAGGCTTCTCCACCTCAGTAGATGGCTCCTCCATGCACCTAACTACTCCAGTTACAAACCTGGGAACCAGACTTGGTTTCTCTCTTTCTTTCACCTTCCACATTTAATATGTAAACAATTCTGACCTTCAAAACTAGTCTCAAATCTATCCAGACCTGTCCATCTCCACAGCCACCTACGTCTCTCCTCTGGACTAGAATAGCCTGATGACAGGTGTCTTTACTTTCCTGTTTGCCACCCACACACCCACCCCCACAATTCATTTCCAGCACAGTAGCCAAAATTCTTTCGAAAATGTAATCACATCATAAGTCTTTCCTGCTTAAACACTTTCACTGGCCTTCCCAATGCTCTTAAGATACAATTTAATAGCAAAATCATGGAACCAACCATGCTGCCCATCAAAGCTGGACTGGATTTTTTTCAAATGTGGTAAATATACACAATAGAATATTATGCAGCCACAAAGGACAAACATATGGACTTTGCAGCAACTTGGATGGATTTAAAGTCGATCATACTCGGTGATCTACCACAGAAAGAACAGAGTACCATATGCTCTCATTCATAAGCGGACCTTGAATGATTATCATAATAGTATAAGAAAGGGATTAGCAGTAGTGGGAAGCTGCCAGGTGATGGGGAGTGGGATTGGCAGTTGAGGGAAACTGCTAGGGGAGAGGAAGCACACCTCATCAACAAGGGTACCTGCATAGTGAACATTTGTATACCTAACCCTGAATTGTACCCCACATCTTTAAAATAAAATAAAATTT